CCCCAAAACCCCAAAACCCCAAAACCCCAAAACCCCGTTTCAATTACAGATGTTGGCAAACTTAAAATAAATAAAAATGGAGGACATATTTAACTTTGTGTTCGGTTTTGTCATTATCTATTCAGTGTATAAGCTGATTTGATTGTTTGTTTCAACAGTCAGGTTTTGTTGCCGTTTGGTCTGATGCTGAAGGAATAATAGGGGGTTAGAAGGGTGACATGGGAGAAGAGGTATGGATAGTGTAGATGTTGGAAATTTGTGTTTTGAATTTGATTGTAAAAGAGAAGATGAAGTTGATGGTGTATTAGGATCAGAAGTTATATCAGATACGAAATCAGAGAAAGAGGAGATAAAGGAGAATAAAGAGGAAGCAATTGATCTCAAGATATACAAAGGAATTCGGAGTCCTGACCTTGATTCATTTCTTACAAGTGCTTTGCAGTGTTTGATTTCCATCCCTGAGTTTTGCAGCCCTCAAGAGAATGAAGAAATGAAAGATTTTCGAGATTGCAAGCTCAATCCACAGACGAGTGTTTTGGATGAAATTAAAGATTTAAAAAGAAGGTATTTCGATGATTATTATGAAGAAATTGATATTATGAATATCAGGCGTAGCTTTAACAAAAAATTTCCAAGATTTCAAAATCATGATTCTTTTGATTTGTTGATGGCTTTGTTTGAAGATATACAAAAGCAGATGAATCCAACAATGGCTCCATTTATTCCAAATAGTTCTCTGAACTATAAAGATATATGAAAAGAATATGAAAATAGCCATCCATCAATAGTTAATCAACTCTTCGTGGGATTGTCCAAGCTAACATATGTTTGTCAAGATTGAGGGAAGGAGAATATCATTTATGATGATTTTAAACATATAACATTAGATTGTATTCACCAGTCATCAAAATTAGCATTCAAGGAACTTTGTGAAAGCTTCAATCGAGGCAAATACAGTCATTTCAGATGTAAAAAGTGTCAGTGTGACAGTCTCTGAATGTTCACAAATAAGATCATAAAATATCCAAAATATCTACTCATAGTAATCCAGAAAGAAGAGTTAAAGTGCCAGTCTCAATCAAACAAGCCAATAGATTACAAAAGCAGTTTTTCTCTACCCACTCCTGACTCTCAAACAGTAACCTACACCCTCAAAAGCATAATCTGCAAAACCCGGGCTCTTCTCTACAACCACTACAGTGCTATCTGCAAGCGTGGCTCCGAATGGGTGCTCTTCGACAACTCCTTCTGCTCTACTATAACTGAAACCTTTGATCTTACTCTTCGGTCAGATGTTCACATTTTATTTTACAAAGCAGAAGAGATTCCAGAATTTTAAGTTCAACAAAAATCTTTGGTCACGGGGTTTTGGGGTTTTGGGGTTTTGGGG